TTACCACTTAAAAAAGAAAAAACCTAAACCAACCTGTAAAATGAGTAGTTCTTGTATTCTAAATATGTTAAAGGAAAGTCAATCTCAAAATTCCTGTCAGAAATGATTTTGATGTGGCTATTTAAAACATAGCTTATTTTATGATTTAGTCAAATTCATTATCTAGCTTTTTTCACTTCAGAAAAGTTAGGCTTATTTTATGTTCTTAGGCATTTAATTTGTATTTAAGGTTTAATGGGAACATATCTTGATCCACTCATGAGATCTAAACAGTGTGCCTTGCAATATTAAGTAGGGAAATAATAATATTTGTTGAATGACATAATTTATTCAACACTCAATGGGAGAAGGTAGCTGTATTGAAAATAAAATATTAAACAATGTACTTTTAATTATAGAGTTTATGAGGTTTTTGAAACCAGTTTTATTGAACAATACTCTTTGCTCTGATATTTAAATTAGTTCATATTTCTTAGATAATGTTCTTGTTTTATTGCCAGCTCCATCATAAAACTTTACAGTGGGTAATTCACTTTGATAGTCAAGAAGTGACTTTTAAGTTTTCTTCCTTGTACCATTAAGCTGATGTTAGTGGTGGTAAAATATCAGTTTGAATTTGAAAAATAGTAATAAGGAAAAGTTTTTGACTTATACGATACGTTAAATACTTCTGTGTTTTGTTTTCATTAGGCATCTTGCATTTTACTACAGTTTGTGTGTGTGTGTGTGTGTCTGTGTAAACACATGGTTATCTTTATATCTGCCTCTCCTCTATACAACAGATTTAAGGCAGCTCACAATAAGAATACAAACAAAACCTATTGAGATATAAATAAGAGAGAAATCAAGACAGAGGCATATAAGTATGGGGTCCACAAAGGCATGTGTGCTTGCTGTTTGTGTTGGTCCTCTGCTCTGTCATCCTCAAATTTATTCCTCACCCTTTCTCTGTTCTGTTTTGTATCTCAGGGGAGGGTGATTCCAGTAGGTAGCATTTTCCAGGTTCCCAAATCACCTAGCTTCTATGTGGGTTCAGCCAATGGGAGGCACTGGTGGGAGTTTGGAAAGTAGGAGGAAGGAAAGGGTAGGGTATTTTCTCCCTCCCTCTGCCTCAGGTGGGGTCTCCTTTGTAGCACCAGCTCCTGCCAGACTGCCTGCCTTGGCTCTGTTCTCCACAAGGTGTCCTTGGACTTGGGTTCTGGTGATATCACTGCTTTCTCCCTCCGTTCCGTAGACCTTGGGATGATAGTGGCTTCCTACTGTACCTCATACTCTCTGGTTATGTTTAATAGTTAGAATCTTTTATATACAATATCTTTAGTATATTTAATAGCACTATATCTTCCTTCTGATTTGTGTGTACTGTGACATAATTGGACTAGGTACTATTTGATAGTATCTGTATGTTCTTATGAGCTTTTGTAATAGCCTTTTTTTTTTCTTTTTAACCATTTGATTTTTTTCTCCCAGAATAGAGAAGCTTAAAGCAGAAGTAGAACAAGTTTAAAGAGTTTTATTCCTAAATCTGATCCTTCAGATCAAAATTAGTCTCAACAGTGGTACCACCTACCAAACACGTGAATCAGACATTCAGCCAAATGTTCATTTCAAACATTTGTTGAGTGTCTGCTGTGTCGTGAAGCATCAAGCTGGGTAAACTGAGAGTAAAAGGACAGATATGAGATGGTCTCCACTTTCCAGTTGCTTTTAGGCTTTCTGAAGAGGGCCTCATGGTGGGGAAGGCGTTCTTATTGCTAGCACCTTCAGCGATAGGGCTTTATGGGGGAGTACTGTAGACGCCCATGTAATAAAAACATATAATTCCCATAAATATGTAATCTCAGGAAATGTAAATATAAAATTGTATTGTCAGTCTAGAAAAAAGGGGAGTTTTGGTGTATTCAAAAAAATCCCAAGTTCAGGAAACACTAGGTTTGTTCTGGTTTTTCAGCTGATTTTTATATCATGGAGCAAGGTAGTTAAAATCTCTTAGTCTTTTGTAGTATTTTATTAATACAATTGATTTTAGAAATTTTGAAAGGGGATATTTAATGATAATTTAGGACATTGTTAAAGTAAAATTATCATATAATTTTTCTCACTAATCCCAACTTTTCCTTTTGTTGCTATTCCCAACCCTAACTCTAATCAATGATTAGGCTGTACCCTTATCATTCCTGTCACACCTGGCCTTGGTGTCAGACCTTCTAGAGCTTTCGCTTTGTGTATGCTAACGTGCTGGTAACCCTCCCCTTAGTCTACTCTACCCTGTCTGGCTAACCTCTTCACATGTTATACAAGAGGTGACTGCCAGGGAAAAATGGAGATCCAGTAGGTACCTTTTAGTCTTGTTGCTGAAGAATTTTTAAAAATATTTAATTCTGTCATATTTACCAAATTCTATTATAACTCTTGATTGAAAGGTCTTAAAAAAGAAATGTCTCCTCTCCCCGTCTTTTATTTTGAAAATTTTCAATCTACAGAAAATTGGGAAAATTTGTGGTAATTTGAAAGATCATGAAATGATCATGAAATGAAAGATCATATATCTTTCATCTAGACTCACCATTTGCTAAAAAATTTCCGACATTTGTTTGTGTCTTTCCCTCTCTATACAAATATATATGCTTTTGTGGGGTACTGTTTGAAAGAAGTTATATATACCATGACATTTCATCCATGAATACTTCTTGTCAAAGGATTTTTCTTGTACTTTTTTTCTTGTAAATTCCCACTAAACTAGAATATGTAAGTGCTCATGATGAATGATGCCAGAAGATGCACTGCATGGAGAGTCTCATTCTTGCATCACTAGACTTCCTCCAAATAAAGTTTTCCCCTCACCTTATTTATTTTTTTAAAGATTTTAGTTTTTTCCTTTTTCTCCCCAAAGCCCCCTGGAACATAGTTGTGTATTTTTAGTTGAGGGTCCTTCTAGTTGTGGCATGTGGGACGCCGCCTCAGCATGGCCTGATGAGTGGTGCCATGTCCATGCCCAGGATCTGAACCGGCAAAACCCCGGGCCACTGAAGCGGAGCGCGCGAACTTAACCACTCGGCCATGGGGCCAGCTTCTTCCCTTCACTTTACATTACATATTCATTTTATTTTTTAATAAGCATTTTCTAACCACCCTCTACCACCACCCACCACCACCACTCTCACTACTTTCTGATACTTTTTTTTTTCACTTTTAACAAATTGTGTTTATATATATATATATATATATATATATATATAACAGAATTTTCCATTTTGACCATTTTTAAGTGTAAGGTTAGCGGCTTTAATTATATTCACAGTGTTGTACAATCGTTACTTGCATCACTCCAAAAAAGAAACTCTAATCATTAAGCAATAACTCGCCATTTCCCCCTTCCTCTCGCCTTGGTAACCTCTAAGCTACTTCCTGTCTCTGTGTATTTGTCTCTTCTAGATAGTCCACATAGTGGAATCATATTTGTCATTTTTTTGTCTGGCTTATTTCACTTTGCACAGTGTCTTTAAGGTTTATCCATGTTGTAGTGTGTATCAGAACATCACTCCTCATGGCTAAATAATATTCCATTTTGTTGATCTGTCTATTGATGGACGCTTGGGTTTCCACCGTTTGGTTATTGTGAATAATTCTGAAATGAGCATTGGCATACAAGTATTTCTTTGAGTCTCTGCTTTCAATTTCTTGGTGTATATACCTATGAGTGGAATTGCTGGGTCATGTGGTAGTTTTATGTTTAGCTTTTTGAGGAACTGCCAAACTGTTTTCCACAGTGGCTGCACCATTTTATATTCCCACCAGCAGTGTAGGAGGGTTCCAACTTCTCCACATCCTCGCCAATGCTTATTTTCCCTTTCTCTGATTATAGCCATCCTAGTAGGTGTGAAGTGGTATCTCATCGTGATGTTGGGCGTCTTTTCATGTGCTGCTTGTTCATTTGTATATCTTCTTTGGAGAAATGTCTGTTCAGGTTCTTTGCTCATTTAAAAAGTTGGGTGGTTTATTTTTTTGTTGTTGAGTTTGAGTTCTTTATATGTTCTTGATATTAAGCCCTTGTCACATATATGATTTGCAAGTATTTTCTTCCATTCTGTAGGTTGTCTTTCCACTTTCTGGATAATGTTCTTTGATGCCCCAAAGTTTTAAATTTTGATGAAGTCCAATTTATCTATTTTTTCTTTTGCTCATTCTTTTTCTGATATCTTAGTAACAGAATCATAAGCAGATTTATCAGTTGTTATTAGATGATTTTTCTCCTCATCACAGATTAGAGTTTGAGCTGCTTTTTTTGGTCCAGGATCAATAAAAAATAACAGTATTAGTTGCCATGGATTGATACCTAATATGTGCTTGGTGCCTTTGGGAAACCTGAGAAAATAGAATTCAAAGGAACAAAAGCCTCATTAATTTCATTCTTGCCAAGTAAATTCTACTGAAACCCCTAACCTCCCAAAGAAATTAGAAGATATGTTCTTCCCCATTATTTTCTGGAAGAAATTTAAGTCAGAACTACTGCTCGTATTTCTGCTGCACTAATCAGGTTCCTGGCATCTGCCCTGGATCCTAGGCTCCCCCGACACTTCAGCTTGTGGAGGTTCCAGGTTTCTTGTCTCTCCATTTGACTGAATTTCTTACTTAGCTCAGCCAGCTTTTTACCTTACCTAGTCTGTAGTCATCTTTACAAACTGCTTAAGAAACTCAAGGTAAATGTGTTTCTTAGGGACTAACATTTTGAACCAGACTTTAGATTTGTTTTATTGCGCTAGACAAGTGAGAGTTTCCCTCATATTTATAGCTCTGAAATTCCTTTAAGAAGCCTTCTATGCAATGCTATTGATTAAAATAATTAGGCTTTTCCTATTTGTGGTATGAGTGCTTTCTCTCTAGTATATTTTCTCTCAGATGACTCAATAATTGTTCACTTTCCCCCTCAAACTATGAAAACACAAATATTAAGTGCTCTGTCAGTGTTTCATATGGTTTATTCTGATTTTTTCCCCTAGCGGATCTGAAAAGAACAATTGCTGTCCTTTTGGATGACATTTTACAACGCTTGGTAAAGCTGGAGAACAAAATTGACTATATTGTTGTGAATGGCTCAGCAACCAACAGTCCCAGTGGTACCACTGGGAATCTGGTGCCAGTCACCACAAATAAAAGGATAAATGCATCAGGCAGCATTAGATAGCAGTTGAAGATCACCTTGTGCTGCTGCATCCACCGTGGATTATATCCAATGGCAGAAAAGCTTTTACATCGCTGGCTAGGATAGAGTATACTTTACAATAAAAGCTCTACGCATTTTCAAGGAATATGCTGGATTCATGGAACTCTAATTCTGTTTATAAATTTTAAAAGTTATTAGTTTGCTTTCAGGCAAGTCTCTTCAATGCTGTACTATATCCTCAAAGGGAATTTGGTAACATGGTTGATGTAGTAAGTAGATAGGTGATCTTTGTATAATTTTTTTTTTGTTTGAGATCAAGCTGAGAAAAACACTGAAAGACATGGATTCATTTCTATAAAATATTTATTTAAATATATGACATGTTTTTCAGACAAATGGAGAATATTGTTATTGAATCATTCTGTCATGTGTTCTCAATAGATACGTGTTAGCCTGATACTGTTAGGAAATGTGCTTCCTCCAGTACTAGATTTAGATTATGAGCAGAGAAAGGAAGTATAAGATTGAAAATAATGTTTTGAAATCTTGACCCAGAGAATGTCTTCATTTGCACTATTCTTCAGAATAACTGGAGGTTAATTACTGTATATTTTTAAAAATTACATTTGTAAGAGTATAATCTTGAAATGGGTAGTAGCCACTGTCTGTAACCTATTCTAAACATCGGGACAATTAAACGACATTAAAATAGTAATCTGTAATCTAATATGTAGCATTTTCTTACGTATATCCTGAAGAATAAAAGATGTTTATGATGAGGTTAAAAACTAAGTTAATTCATGATTTTTCACATACATGAATGTTAATTTAAAAATTTAACCCTTTGAGTGTCTATGCTATCAGGAAAGCACATTATTTCCATATTTGGGTAATTCTTGCTTTTATTGTGTTGGTGGGGAGGGAGAGACTGAGATATTTATGAGACTGGGACTCTTAAGGACTTTAGCCAGATGTATATAATAAAGGTATTTGTGCTACATTAAATTGCTTGGAAAATGGTAACATTGTATTATATAAGAGTATCCTGCTTTATGAAATTTTGGATTTGTATAACAGATACATTAGATGTTCATTTTATATAATAACCACTTAAAAATAAAGAACATTTAAAATATAATTTAAATTATAAAGATTGACTATCTTTTCAGGAAAACAGCTATTGTAAATAGCACAAGAGATCCTAATCAAGGGTAATTTTAGTATAGAGCAAAGTACACCTCTATTTAAATTTCCCTTGTAGCAAATTTAATTGCCATATGGTGCCCTATATTTCATAGTATTTATTCTCTATAATGACTGCTTAAGTGCAGCTAGCTTTAGACAGTATTGAATTTAGTTTGGTGTTTTTCCCCCTCCTCCCCAAAGCCCCCCAATACATAGTTATATATTCAAATTGTAGGTCCTTCTGGTTGTGCTATGTGGGACACCACCTCAGCATGGCCTGATGAGCGGTGCCACGTCCACACCCAGGATCCGAAACAGCGAAGCCCTGGGCTGCCGAAGCAGAACGCATGAACTTAACCACTTGGCCATGGGGCCAGCCCCATATTGAATTTAGTTTTGAATATTGTATTGTTCATTATTACATATGCTACCATACATAGTACCAATGATTATATGTTTGATTAAAATAAGTATTTTTTTTCAAAAAATATTGTTTTATGAAATGTAGCTTTCCAAACTCTTTTCCCTGTACTCTACCTTCATGTGAAGAAATTAATTATATACCATTGCCAGGTGAAGTTTGGAATAATTGTTCAGTCTCTCTCGTGTTAGATGTGGACATTTTTTGTTTTTGTTTTCAGAGTTGAAATAAAATATATTATTTGTACTTACAAAGTGTTATCATAAGTTTTTTCTTTAATGGTAGTTGTGCATTTAATAAATGGTATATGATTAAAAGAAATCATAAATAATTTTGGGTTTTGTTCCATCAATTTCAGATATCTTTTTCAAAAGAGAAAGACGGAAGGTTGCCTTGTTCAGGATAGGACAGTTTGAGTCCAGGGATCGATGGGGAAAGTCTGGGGATTGTGATCAGAGGTGGTTCCTAGGTTTGTACCCTCAAGTTGAAGTTTACTGTTGAGTTTTTAAAAGTCATGCCTTAGTATGTATATCTTTAGTTAATCTTAGTTAACGGAGACATTAGCACAGAAGGTGTCACTAAAGATAGTAAAAACTTTCCAATTTCAGAATATCTTTGGGTTTACTCTAGGCATTGTACTGGTAAAAAAGTAATTTAAACATTATTTCACATAGTTAATGCTAACTTGGGTCTCATTTGTCTTCAAGAAACACTTAGGACCTTGACTCTGGAGTTAGGTAGACTATAGAGGCTCAAGTCTGCCTTTTTGGTGACACCATATTCTTCCTTATTTTGAATCTATAGAATCTGCCTTGTCTCATTTAATTATGTCTCAGAGGCCCAAAGTATTAACAGCTTACATAGGAGCCTCTGTCTTGCATGTTTGCTTTAATTGCAAACAGTGTTCTATTTTTAACGAAACGCTTTGAGCTGAATAGATATCAATGTATTGTTTTCCCTTTTTTTAAGAGAAGTGTTTATCTGAAAAGGGGACATGATATGATGAAAGAGACAAAAATAAATAAAGGAGCTAAGTGAAACCATTTTTTAATAATTGAAATCCCTGAATGATTCTTAACTTTTGGTTGGAGGAATGGTAGGGTTCATGTTTTGAGAGTGCTTGAGAGCTAGAGAAGGAGAGGAGAGAGAGAAATGAATATGAAAATGAGAATAGATACAGAAAGCAAAATGGCGGGGGAAATCTGAAATTTCTCTCCCCAGGGATAGCTGCTGTTGACATTTTAGGATGTCAAAGTGAATCTGATCTCCCCTGCCCACACTCTCCATTGACTTCTCATTTCCACTTAAAATAAAATCCAGCGTTTTCACTGTGGCCTCCAAAGCTTGATTTGCCCCTGGCTGCCTCCTATCCTTACCTCTTGCTGCCCTTCTCCTTCCTAATTCCTCTTCAGCCATAGTATTGACTTTGTCTTCCTAGGACATACCAGACATGCTTTCTCCTCAGCAATGTCAAACTTGATATTTCTCTATTTGCAACTCTTGTTCCCAGATATCTTCATGGTCCCCTCCCTCACAGGTGTTTGCTCAAATGTTACGTCTTAAGGGGAGTCGTCTCTGACCACCTGCCTGAAGTAGCCTGCCTCTAGCACCCTTACCCTTTTTACTTTTCTTCATAGTTGTGATATACCTAACATTAAATTGTGTATTAACTTGTGTTTTTTCTGCTGCTTCTTAGAATCTATGCTCCCTGAAGGCAAAGACTTCATTTTGTTCACTGATATAACCTGGGCATATACAACCGTGTCTGACACAGAATAGGTACCTCATAAATATTTGTTAAAACAAGTTACTGAACCATTCTATATTTTTTGCTTTGTACGTCTATACCTTTGCTTATATCTTTAAAAATTATACCATACATACTTTTTGTACACCATAGGAACTTCTTTCCAAGTCAGCAAGTATATAACTTTCATGGTTATTCCATTGTGTGTGTGGCTGTATCACAGTTGATATGTCTTTCACACAATTATTTGGCATTTTTCTTGCAAATAAAAGATTTAGACCTAGGTGCGGGACAAGTCTCATGCCTGTCCTCTTTCTCTTGTTCCATGCTGTCATTATGATTTTAGATGCTAGAGGGTAACCTAATGAAGTGTGATTAATACCCATTTGGGGGAAACAAAGTGGTGAAATATCTCCACTTGTAAAGAACTATCAGGACAGAGAAAATCCAAAATAGGTGATCGTCCTCAGACATTGTTTTATATCATGAGCAGTAGGCTAGAAGCATTTTGCAGAGTAGGGAAAAGACTAGGAATAAATGTACAGTGGCTAATCCATAATTGGGTTAAAGAACTGAGAGGGGATTGGTTAGTGGTCAGACGTGTGCTTAATCAGATCAAGTCTGTCATTTAAAGCTTTTGGCTTAAAATAAATCAGTAGTATTCATGTGTATTTAAGGAAGCTAAGCCATAAATATTTCTTAAAATTACTGTTTTTCAGATTTTAACGTCAGTATCTTTCAAACGTCTTTCCAGAATGAGTTTACGAGTCCAGTGAGTCCTTAATATATGTGCAACTTATGTCTATCTTCACATTGTGTAGAATGTGTAACTTCACGTTGCTTCTAAGTGTTGATTGCAGCATCATTCATTTGAATAAATCATTCTTTTTCATTTAACTTTCTCAGGTGCTTAATTCACCCACATATCCTTTCTTTAAAATCTGTGAATTTTTCAGGCAAAGAAATAAACTAGGATTCTGTAGAGTCTTTTTAGGTGGGAGGGCGGTATCGTAGATATGATATCAAGGCTTCAGGAAAGGAAATATTTTGAACCACTGGTGTTTCAGAATTTATACATAACATTAGCTTATGTACAGTTTTGAGATAAAAGTGATGTTTTGTTTGCTTGTTTATTTTTCATCTTCATCAGTTAGAAAAGGAGGAAAAAAAATCCCCATTTACTCTTTTCTTCAAATCTGAACTAAGAGTTTCAGGCCAAAAGCCTTGAGAGGATGGTTGGAGCAGGAGGGCAGAGAAAGGGGACCTCTGCCAGGAGGAGGGGTCCCTGGCCGCCTGCCTTGTGGAGGAGGCTCTGCACCTTGGATGTTAAATGTGCTGCAGGAGGGAGGATTTAGAGCAGGAAGGATTTGGAGAATTGGTTTTTAATAACGTCCACCATGTAATGGGATCATTATGATAATAATAAGTTATTGAGCATCTACTGAGGGCTGTGCCTTGTGCTGTGCTCTTCATGTATAATACCTCATTTAGTCGTCAAAACAACTTTGTGAGGTAGGTTCCATTATCCCCATTTTGTAGATGGTGCAGAGAAGCTGGCTGTGGGCTCTCTGGTCACAGATCTTACAGACTGCACAGCAGAGATTCAAACCTGGAAGGGGCTGTTTCCAGAGTCTGTGCTATTGGCCACCATGTTTTACCAGCTGTTCTGCCCATCTTGCCTTAAGTACACTCAAGCATTCCCCTTTACTCCCCTAATCTTCTCTCTGGGACCTAGGAACTCCTCCTCTCTGATCCAAGGGAGATCTGCTTCTCTGTTCACTCCTCACTGTCCTTAAAGGCCTGGATTAGCAACATCCGTAGAGTCTGCAAAGACATCACACGATTTGCATTTGGCTCCCAGGCATTCGTGGTAGTCCACTCATCCAGGCTGATGGCCCAGGATGGCTGGGTTTTGGGGGTGATAAGAGATGAACCAATTTCTGGGGAGTTAGTTGGGAGCACCAGGCTATGGTATTCGGGAGCTTATGAATGAGCCTGCCACAATAGTGTCTCTCACATCTGATCTTGGAATAAGGAAAAGGAGGGATTGGCTTAGTGCATATTTTCCTAGGTGAACATAAGCTTCTCTACCCTCAAGGCCATTCTTTGTGCCCACCTTGGGATTCAGGACACTATCAACTCACCTAAGGCAGTTCTCTGTCACCATAAAATTTAGCACTAAGATTTTATTTGCAAAGCTTGGGTTAGGGATTTTCTGGGGCCAAAATATTTCCATCCTTTTCCACTTCCTAGAGGCTGGACAGAGTGGAATTCAAGACTCATTCTTGGTCTATTATTTTGCTCTTGTAATCTCTTTAGGTTTTACAGATGAATCATTTGACGAATTTTTAAGAAGCCTGAGATCATCTTGATGATGACTTTTGTTTTTTTAAAGATTGGCACCTGAGCTAACAACTGTTGCCAGTCTTTTTTTTTTCCTGCTTTTTCTCCCCAAATCCCCCGCAGTACATAGTTGTATATTTTAGTTGTGGGTCCTTCTAATTGTGGCATGTGGGACACTGCCTCAGCTTGGCCTGGTGAGCAGTGTCATATCCGCGCCCAGGATCCGAACCGGCGAAACCCTGGGCCGCCGTAGCAGAGCGAGCGAACTTAACCACTCGATAACGGGGCTGGCCCCAGTGATGACTTGATTGTGTCTGATTTAAGAGTGTTTCATGTAGTATCTCTGAGTTTTCTAAAATACTAACTAGCAGAGCCTGAAAAACCTCTGGCTGTTTGTCCAAAGCTTGCCTGTTGATTTGAGAGAATTTTAAATTGCAGACCTCTGGATCCACCTTCTTTCCTTCTCTGGGATGCCTTCTACCCACGGCACGTGGTCCATGGACTAGTCATCAGACTGGAATTGACCTCTCCATGGAGAAGTGAGGTAAAAAATGACATGGAAATCCTTTCTGTTTTCAGCATTGTCCGTTATTATTCACCCCATGTAGTAAAAGGGCAGCTCTTCCTTTGGTCTCCCCCCTGAACCTGATGCATTAAAAAATGTAAAGAATACTTACTGCAAACCCTGAGAGTGCCTTTTAACTACAAATGCCCTTCTCTTAGCTTCCAGGCAAAGACACACTTGGAGGGGAAGGCAGGCAGGAGTTGGGGGTTGTGGGGGGCAGAGGTTAACATGTTAATGTATTTATTTTCTTTTTCTCCTCAGACAAGCTGCTATCATTTTCTACCTTGGAAAATAACTAAGTGGCACTTGGAATTAAACTTTTCCAGAGAAAGTGGTGAATATTGAGAGTTTTAAGTAAAAAAAAATCACTTTCTGACTCTCTGCATGACTTAATTCTCCTTTTTATCTTCTTTCCTAAATATCATGTGTTAAAAACAATATTGGATTTAAATACAGTGATAAATAACCATGGTTAACAGCAGATGGAAGGTGATGTCACCAGTGTATGCCCTAAGCAGCTCGAAGGAAGTTTTAGAAGTGCCTAACACTTCCTCAAGGTTGTTTTTCAGAGCTATGTAAGGAGGAGATACCATTGTCAA